CCCCAAAACCCCAAAACCCCAAAACCCCAAAATAGTGAGAGAGTATTGAAAGATAATAATTATTAAGGTAAGTTAATCATCATGGAGAAGATATATTTTCCCTTTATCTTTTCAGTATGTCCTTTACAAGATTGTTTCTTAATGGCCAACTACTTGACTTCAACAATCTCTGGATGATTTGAGCTCCTGTCAAAGAGATACGCTTGGGAAGATGTTTTAATCCTCAAGAACTCTTTGTTTTATGCAAAACAAACTAGGGAGAAATTAGCCTTTCTTACCTTGTAGAGCCTCTACACATGTGTTTTACTGCCTGATCTCCTTTTTATATGAGAGATAGACTCATTTACTATGATACAGCCTCTATGAGGTTGTATGGTCCAGTCTTTTAGCTTGTGAGTTATACAACTTTTTGTCTTTAATGGCTGACTTTCTGATTTAAAGGCTGTATTAAAACCACCTTGAGAGGCTCGATTAGAGAGACTCTCACCTACACCTAATGATTATGAATCACAAGGGCCCATTGTGATAAAGTTGTTCAGAGCTTTTCTGGAGAGAATTAGTTATCATGCTCTGTATGACTCATGAAGGGCTTTGGTGTTCTAGTTGAGAGACTGGCAAAAGTTGACAATAACAATGCTCCCAAGCAAACTAATGATAATCAATGTTTTATGGTTAGACTAGTCTTTCTTCTTAACTCATTTAATTGTAGGAAATCCTAATTTACAAAATTTAATTCTTTCATGAAAAGAGGCAGTTCTCCTACCCAGAATGAAGAAATCCTAAAGAGCTTCTTGATAATCTCTTCTGATTATTTTGATTGAACTAGCTCATACAGACTATTTATAAGAGCGCATCAGTGCATATTTTAATGAGCCAAAGCTTCTCAAAAATTTTTAAAGATGGTAGACTACCAATATGGCCCAGAGTGGTAGTCTTTGTTAAAAAATTTAACTTTATCTTTTTAAAGTGGCATGCATTCATCTATCTCAAAGAGGTCTGAAATAATTATAGATGTTACTATCAACAACCTAGCCAATTTGCTGAGCTTCAAGAAAATTGAACTATTGGAAATTCTTAAAAAAATCTTTTAAATAAAAATTTCAAAATTTTGCTATATTCTTTTAGTACCCTCCAGAAGATGATATATCTCTGAATTTAGTATCATATGTACATTATCACTCCCCTTCAAGATAAAGGTAAAATATTGCTATTATCCCCACTTAATACACGATCTTTCTCCAGAACTACAGCTAAATCTCTTCTTAGGCTACCCCATTTGTTCCTAATTTCTCCTTGCCAAGCTTGGGCTGATGAGCAGCCAGGTTTATTGTAGTCATAGAAGAAGTTTAGGCTAAATTTGTGAAGAATTGTAGTAGAGAGAAGGGGGTTTAGGCGGCCAGTTGTCTCAAGAAGTTTGATGGTTGGGGGAGAGGGGAATGGAGATGGATTGAGAGATCTTGGGTGGGGATTGATGGGATGAGAGGGGTAAGAGGAGGTGTTTTTGGGATTTTAGGAGGAAATTTAGGGGTTGATGAGGGGAGGTGTTGATACAGATGTTGTATTAACCTATCTTGCCTTTTAGAAAGGTCTTAGAGATGGGGGATGAGAGGTTTGTGGTAATTTGGGGGAAATTAGGGTAGTGTTTTGGTATATACTCTTAATTTGCTCTGGGATAGAAAAATTGTCTATAAAATTTACTTTTCCTCGCAACTTCTAGTGTAAATTTATTTCCTTTATCTCTTGGCTACAAGTTGATCTAGAGATAGGTAGATGTTTTAAATAGAAGATCTCGAGTTTCTACATCTACAATATTATGATTTCAGCAACCATCCTTAGAATTTTCTGAGCTTTCACCCAGATTAATCTTTGAAGTAAATTTTTAGTATTAAATTCAAATCAGCTGTTTCAAATTTTTTTTGAGCAGGTGATCAACCATTTTAGCCTGGTGTCACAATAATCGAGTATCTCTGAGTGCTTAGTAAAGACTTGGGTCTTATAAAACATTCTTGCATAATTTTGGAAGCTTTATTCATATAAAAATCTTAGAAATCACCAATGAAGTCTCTTTTATAGCGTGTTTGCTTGATTCGCATTCCTCAGCTTCGAGAAATTGAACTTGAGTCATAAGTCTTTAATTTATTAATTTCTTCAATAATTCAGCAGCTTCTGGATTCTTTGGCAACAAATTTTTGATGGTCAACTAAATTTGCTATTTCTCGGTGAACTCTTAAAAATTCTGGCTTTATTTGACTTCAAAATTAATTTTAAATCGTGGCCAAAATCCGAGTGAATATTTTTCAAGTATCTTTAAGAATGTCAAGAAGAAGTTGAGTTACATAAGGCATAAAAATATGAGCATATGAAGAGTGCCATATGTAGCAGCAACTCAAACATATTTCAGTTAGATCTTGGCTCTTGTGACTAAGAAAACTCATGAAATTAAATATGATGCTCTTATTTACTGTAATTATAAACACCATGATATTAGCATCTATGTCCTGTTCAATTTTGTATGCTAAGCGCTGATGTTACAAGGCTGTAGAGCTGGTGAATCTTATAGATAGAATCAAGGTCATGAGAGCTTAACTCCTTCTTAAGCTCATGATTAAAGGATTATTTCCATTAGGTATCATTTTTAGACTTCTATGTTAAGTTTAGAGTAGCAAAAACTTGTGTGCTTGTCAAATATTTTGATACTACAAAATGTTATTAGCTAACCATTCTGCTCAGATACTTATATTAATAAGTAAGAAAGGCAAGATTCTTGAACTCTCTGTCAATCCAGAGTATTCTTATTTCTTCTCACTCCAATTAACCTCTTCTCTTTCAATTCCATTTTGTTAATTATGAGCTTGCCTAACTTTCTATAGATGGAAGAAAGAAAAGAGTACCTGCAATGCTACAACATTGGTGAACAAATGCCTCATGAAATACAGATGGTAAAGTTTTGTCTTCACTAACCTATTTTTACTCTGCTTCCCATATTATTGAACTTTTTACTTTTTCGCGTGATTTATAGACCGCGCAATGATATCCCAAAATTACAAAGAAGAAAGGAAGATGGTCCAACCAAGAACACCATATATTTATAACCTGTAAGGATTTCTATGACCTTGAAGGACTCAAGACGCACGGCAAAGATTGGGACAGGCTTGAAGAATTGGTAAGTTGCATTATTTCTCAGAAATATCTCTTCCATAGATTCCAACAAGATCAAGTTTGCAAATTAGATCACACTGTCAGAAGTATTTTGACCAGATCAAGAAGGAGTACAACACAGACAACCCAATGGAGTATATCATGAATAACATGTGTGATACATCTCCATATTATCAGTTCGATCTCCCTCAATTGACTGACCCAATGCAAAACCCTGAATTGCAGAGAATGATGGTACAAGGGCAAAGAGCTCCATCCAAAAAGAGAGTAGGTAGCAAAAGTCAATACATAAAACAAAGCAAAGATATGGCTGAGAGTGACAGCTCAGGATATTTTGAATATGACGACATCAATAACATGAAGAAGAGAGACTTGAAAGCCTTAATGAAGATCATGCAGGACTCGAGCTCTCCTAGCTTAAGCAATGAGAAGAGGCTTCAGAGGGAGAGCAACTCCGATTCATCAGGAAAACTATTCAAGATTGAGAAAGTGTCAAGGAGCAGAGAAGAGTCATTTTCTAATTCAAATTCTGACTCTAAAAACACCGCCCAACAGAAGAATATTAATACTACTGAAAATAAAGAACAAGGAATAGCAAAAGACACTTCACTTCAGATTAAAAATGGATGTAATGTAATATTGCTCAACAATTGCAAGGTGATTCTTCAAGCGAACAAAGTAGAATCATGTGTTCCTTCAGATGTTCAGAAATTTGGTCAGAACTTCAATGTTGTCACTCCAAATTATCCTTGCCAGATCTTCATCGAGCCATTGATATTGTCGAAGAAGGAATTAAGAGACCAAACTAGCAAAGAAGGAGCTTATAAGGGCTCTATAGATGAGAGCAAGAAGCTCTTAGCTACAAGTGGGTCTTACAGCATGAATACCCAAAGGAATAGGGCTTATTCACAAGCTTCAATACTACAAAATAAAGATTTCATGACAGAAATGGAGATCTTTAACAACATTTTCTGTGCCTGTGTCAAACAATAGTAATTTGAATTAATATAAGTTATTTTCAATCGATTGTAGAAGGTGTGGGGTTTTGGGGTTTTGGGGTTTTGGGG